GTTCTCTCTCTCTCTCTCTCTCTCTCTCTCTCTCTCGAGTACTGTTTGCTTGCGTGCAAAGGTCTCCTTTATGATTTCATGACTGTCGAGTCAGATAGAGATGCCCTCCATCTGCATCACCGATTGGTTCTCTTCTCTTGTACTAGTCTACTTTGCAAACCTGTGCTTTGGTGGGAGGAGCCCAAATTGCCTTTTCTTTTCTTTCTCTTTTCCCACTGGAAATGAAGATTTTCCTATGATCAAACTTCAAAATAGAAATTCGAGTGACGACAGACAAAACGAGAGACACTTTTTAGGTGAAACTTGTGTGCCTAATCTCTCCATTACCTACCTACCTGTGTGTTGGCTGTCGGATGAAAGTAATCGAAAGCAACTCTGGCCCTTATTGTGGCAGCTCTTAAAGTCAAAGGCCACCCCTTGCCATATTAGCACAGACAACAATACGCAGTTTAGTGGATGAGACTTACAGCGATTTCCGTAGGATAGCCTTAATCCTCACATTGTGATGCTGATGTATAACCTAATGATTCTGGTTTAGCCAAGGCCCAAGTACCTTTGGTCGCCTGCCTTGCTCTTGGAGTCTTGCTGTGAGGTTGCTTACTTTCCATGGCTCCTCACATGGTGGGCATCATCTGCTTCCTAAAGCATCAACATAAGCTTTTCCGGATAGCACTCGAGATAATTTACTATCCAGACAGGCAGATCGTAAAGGAATAATAATCTTACCGTGATACCAAAACCGGCTTTACTAGATAGATGACAACACCGTTGGGGGATGGGACGGGATGGGATGATTCCGATGACCTCTAAAAATCCAAACAGGTACTCCAGGAGCATTATAAGTTCTTCCCCACCATCGCTAGGTTGGTCCCAACCCAGCCCTACTTCCATGGCAGTCGAGCTGGCAGTGAGTTGTTCCCAGCTCATCCGAAGCACTCAGAGAAGGTGCATAAAAGCCTGCTTGGCTGAGAGGCAATCTTTTTTCTCTTTTCCTTTTTTCTTTCCCGAGTGTTTTTATTCCCACTTCATCGTGAAACCATGTCTCCATCTTGCTCTTAAGCGTCAATCACACCACAGCAGGACTGTCCTCGACTTTGGACCATGAGAGTGATCAGAAGTGAAAACATCCTTGTAAAGTTCGTTATGTCCATGGCATCGCTACTGCCCACAGAGACAGCAGGAGAAGGAGCAGAAGCAGCAGAGGGTGAGGGTGGTGCTACCATGGATGAACACAACTGCACAAGGCAATGTTCTCCGATCCGAGTCATCCATGGCCAACTCATTTGCGTGTCCTTTCCCAGTCACCCAGACCATTCCAATCCTGACATGAGATCATAGCAAGGACGGACGAAGGCCCACACACTGTTGCTTCACATGAAAGCAGACTCAGCTTCACTTTCATTCCTCCTTCGGCTGTTTGGCAGCAGCCTCTCGTTCAAGTCTAAGAAGGCCAGTGAATGCTTCGCAGTGCTGTGAGATTGCTTCTTCGTGATCCATGTGTCAATGATATATATATATATATATATATATGCATTCAATGTCTCAAGCATCACTCCTTGGAATTTTACTGCACTGGAAAGTACAGTTCATCTCGACCATGGCTATCAGAGAGGAATGAACCAGAAAGAGAGGGGAAAAGGTAGGTGTTTGATGAATTGAATCTTCTCCATCTGAGTGAGACAGGAGTTATGGTGTTGGGTTATGCGAGTCCAATCTCGTTGGATCAATAAATTAGAGTAGACACGATTGATGTGTACAAAAGTAAGCTTTGTAATCTACAAGGGACTTGAATTAAAAGGAGTGCAATGTTGTCCATTAGCTCAATAGGCCAACTCAATCTGCTGCTATTTAATGACTTGATCTTGATCATCATAATGGGCTGAAGGAATTTGGCAGCAAACTCCACCCTTGCTTTCTTGGTTAATAGTCGAACCTGTTAAGAAATCATATGATCATGGTAATGACAGTCTTAATATTGATAGTGATGGCGATGATGTGATGGCCGGGTGATGATGAGGTTGATGGTAATCGTGATCGAGACCAAGATCGAAGACATTTGTAAGTTTTAGCCTTCTGCAATCTTACCTTAAGTCTGATCACATCTCCTGCATCTTCTAATTGTTAGACAGTAGTTTTTTCCTTATACCAGACGACTATTATGAATGAACATCTCTGATGTCATATTAACGTATCAGATGTTATGAGGAGTTGCTGCATGGAGATACATGAGATTTGATATCATGGATGAAACCGTTGTGATTTATACCAATAGTTACCTCCGTAGGTTGGATTATTTCCCTAAGCTGAAAGGATTAACGCACCTAAACGTGATAGTTGTTGTTTCACCTTTATGTCGTGGTGGAGGTGTCAGCACGGCTTGACCCATCCCAAATGCGTAAGATTATCAACAAAACTTCTATGCTAGAGCATATTAGCTCGACTAAGGGGGCCCAAGCCTTGTTCTCCCATGTGAAGGCTGAAGATCACTCCTTTAGTTGTTTGTCGGATGTCTACACACATGTCAAAATCAGGACGAGGATTCTGTTGAATCTCAAATTTTGATGATGAAATTAATTAATAAATTTATGAATTAATAAGCGTTTGAGATAAGTGACACAGGAGAAACTTCGATCATGGACTTAAACCATCAAAAGATAAATTGTTGAAGTAGGAGAATCAAAGGTTGGGTCGGAGAGCATCATGTCAGAGATTGGTCATCGAGCTAAAAGATGGACTTTATGCCATGAGTTCGAGCATCGAGCCGGAAGGATCAAGTATTGTGCTAAGAAGATTGAATATTGTGGGAGGTTAACATACCAATAGATCGGGTAATACATCGAAGGAAAGGACGATACGCCGGAGGTTCGAAGGAA